TTCATCCCTGGATTGCAGGGATGGTTTAACATACGAAAATCTATCAACGTGATCCACCACATAAACAAACTGAAAAAGAAAAAGAAAATGATTATCTCCCTAGATGCTAAAAAAGACTTCAATAAAATTCAACACCCTTTCATGATAAAGGTCTTGGAAAGATCAGGGATAACAGGAACATACCTAAACATAATAAGAGCAATATACAGCAAACCAACTGCCAACATCAAACTGAAATGGAGAGAAACTTAAGCCAATTCCTCTAAAATCAGGAACAAGACAAACCTGTCCTCTCTCTCCATATCTCTTCAATATTGTACTAGAAGTTCTAGCTAAAGCTATAAGACAAGAAAAGGAGATCAAGGGGATCCAAATTGGAAAGGAAGATGTCAAACTGTCTCTATTTGCAGATGATATGGTAGTTTACATAAGCGACCCAATAAACTCTACCAAGGAACTCCAACAGCTGATAAACACTTTCAGCAAACTAACAGGCTACAAGATAAACTCAAAAAAATCAGTAGCCCTACTTTTTTCAGACGACAAAGAGACAGAGAAAGAAATCAGAGGAACATCACCCCTTACAATAGCCACAAGCAACATAAAGTATCTTGGTGTAATGCTTACCAAACAAGTAAAAGACCTATATAATAAGAACTTTGTGGCTCTAAAGAAAGAAATTAAAGAAGATACCAGAAAATGGAAAGATCTCCCATGCTCTTGGATAGGTAGGATAAACGTAGTAAAAATGGCAATCTTGCCAAAAGCAATCTACAGACTCAATGCAATCCCCATTAAAATCCCACCACAATTCTTCACCGACCTTGAAAGCATAATAATCAACTTTATATGGAAAAACAAAAGACCCAGGTTAGCCAAAACAATGTTGTACAATAAAAGAACTTCAGGAGGAATCACCATTCCTGACTTTAAGCTCTACTACAGAGCTATAGTTCTGAAAACAGCCTGGTATTGGAAAAAATTGACAGGTAGATCAATGGAATCGAATTGAAAATCCTGACATTAACCCACACACCTATGAACACCTAATTTTTGAACAAAATATCTAAAATTATACAATGGGGTGAGGACAGCATCTTCAACAAGTGGTGCTGGCACAATTGGATGAGGTTGTGTAGAAGACTGCAGATAGACTCATGTCTGTCGCCATGCACAAAACTCAAGTTCAAATGGATCAAAGACCGCAACATCAATCCAGCCACATTGAACCTCTTAGAAGAGGAAGTAGGAGGTACCCTTGAACAAATTGATATAGGAGACTGCTTCCTGAACATAACTCCAAGGGCACAGACACTTAGAGAAACAATTAATAAATGGGACCTCTTCAAACTTAGAAGGTTCTGTAAGGCAAAGGACACAGTGGACAAGACCAAATGGCAGCCCACAGACTGGGAAAAGATTTTCACCAATCCTATATCTGACAAAGGGCTGATCTCCAAAATAGACAAAGAACTCATGAAACTAGTCAACAAAACACCAAATAACCCTATTAAAAAATGGGGTTCAGAACTGAAGAAAGTATTCTCAATAGAGGAAATCAAAATGTCTGAAAGACACTTAAGAAAGTGGTCCACAATCTTAGCTTTCAGGGAAATGCAAATCAAAACAACTTTGAGATACCATCTTACTCCTGCCAGAATGGCTAAAATTATAAACACCAATGATGACTCATGTTAGAGAGGATGTGGAGAAATCGGAACACTCGTCCACTGCTGGTGGGAGTGCAAACTCATACAGCCATTTTGGAGATCAGTATGGCCGTTCCTCAGGAAAATGGGAATTAGTTTAGCACAGGACATGGTAATCCCCCTGTTAGGAATATACCGAAATGATCCACATCCGTGCATCAAAGACATCTGTTTATCTATGTTCATAGCAGCATTATTGGTAATAGCAAGAACATGGAAGCAACCTAGATGCCCCTCAATTGAAGAATGGATAATGAAGATGTGGCATATCTACACAATGGAATACTACTCTGCAGAAAAAATGAATGGTATCTTGAAATTCGCATGCAAGTGGATGGCACTTGAAGAAACCATCCTGAATGAGGTAACCCAGTCACAAAAAGAGGAACACAGTATGTACTCACTCATATATGGATTTTAGACCTAGAGCAAAGGATCACCAGCCTATAATTCACATCACCAGAGGAACGAGGAAAAAAGGGGGTTTCTAAGAGGATCATAAAAGGCCCCCCACAGAACGGGGAGGGGGCAATCCCCCGGGGGAGGGGGGGGGAAGTGGGGGGCAGCAAATGGTGAGAGAATGAGGAGAAAACGAGGGGAAAGAAAGGAAAACACATGCGATCAGGAAGACTGGTTAGGAAGAGAGAGAGAGAGAGAGAGAGAGAGAGAGAGAGAGAGAGAGAGAGAGAGAGAACATAAAAGAGGGAGCCAATATAGGTTTGAAGAGAAAATTGAAACCAAAGAAAGGTCTAGAGAACTACAAGACTGCCGCCAACTAATAATTTGAGCATCTGTGGAAAGGCTACCATAAATGCCCTTCCCGGATAGTGAGATCAACAACTAAGGTATCTATGATGCCCTCATCTAATGCCTGTTGGAAACAGGAGCAAACACCCATACATAAACACTGAGTCGAACTAGAACTCAGATGCAGAGGGAGAGGACAAGACCATGCGGCAGAAACACATAGAGACAGCTTACCTGTACAAGGAGGAGCTAATGTGCCAACAGACTGATATCTCGGAGGCCAGCATAGGACTGAGTCAGGACCCCCTGAATATGGGCCTCAGCTAGAAGGACTGAGCAGTCTAAGGGACCTCTGACATTGGAGCGAGGATGTATCCCTGTTGCACAAAAGGACCTTGCTAACACATCCCCCATGGAGGGATAGCTTCCTTAAGCTAGAGACAGGAGAGAAGCTCTAGTCCCTACTTCACATGACCTGTCTGGTCTACATGACCCCAGCTGGATGGCATTCCCCTACATATGGAATTGGGGTGGAGGGTTGTGAAGGGAGGGTTGTTAGGGTTTATGTTAGAGGGCATAGAGGGTAAAAGGAGGGAGGGAGAGAGGGAAGGTGGGAGGGACGTAGGTAGGGAGGGATGGTGAGGGAACTGGGATCGACATGTAAAACAATATATTAAATAAAAAAAAATGGGTTGACCTCAAAATTTAAGTTCAAGGAGAAGTTACTGGGGAAAAGGATTTCTAGTTTTGTTTCCACAGAAAATGAAAAGCTGTGGATTCCTTCCAGGCTATTGTGGTTTGTGCAAGCCAGACTGCCCGAAACAGAGTACCAGGTGATCCTGCATTCAAAATTGCTGGACAAAGCAGCCTTGCAGACTACCGCTAGGATTTCTGCTTCTTCTTCGAATCCCTCACGAAGCGCCCCTTACCAGCAGGAAGTAGTTTGGAAAGTAGGAAGCCCAATTTCCCTAATATTGTCTATAAATATTTGTTTTCATTTAAATGGACTTGGTTATATAAAATAAATAATAATATTAATATTATTATTAATATTATTGTGGAGGTGGTGGCAGCTTCTCATGTCTTAGGTACGGGTTCTGTACATAGTCCCTAATTTCAAGACTTATCTGTGTCACTAAACCTGATTCTCTATATTAAAATCCAGTATGCACCTATTTCTTAGAACAGCCTTTGGTGAGAATTTGGATCAGTTAATTGACTTGGTTGAATTTGAAGCTAGTAATGTTTTGGTAACAATTGGAAAATTGGATGTTTTTACTCATTGGCACATACTCATCAGCTCCCTTCAGAGACCTTGATTTTGGCTTCCCCAGGAATAAGTGCTTAGAGAAGGCTAACCTTTTGTAGGGTCTCACAGAGACTTTAACAGTAGAAATGAAAAAATGCAGCAACTGTTGATGACATGACATAATCCTCTGTTGAATTAGTTATCTCCTTAAATTTTTTTCTGTCTGTCTACCTATTTTTCTATCTATCTATCTATCTATCTATCTATCTATCTATCTATCTATCTATCATCCCAACTATAGCCTCCTATTCCTCTTCTCCTCTCAGTCCCTCCCTATCTTTTCATCCCCTCTCCATTCATCCTTTCATATTTGCTCAGAAATTGACAGGCATCCCATGGGAATCACCAAAGCATGACATATCAAGCTGCCATAGATCAAACACCTCCCCCTGTATTCAAACTGTCCTAGGCAATCCAGCATGAAGAATAGGCTTCCAACAGCCAGCCATAGGATCAGGGACAGACCTGGCTCCCATTGCCAGGAGACACAACTATCTCATATATATGTGAAGTGCATAGGTCGCTTCCATGCAGGCTCCCTGGTTGTTGGTTCAGGCTCTGTGAGTTCACATGAGCCAGTCTAGTGGTTTCTGTGTGTTTTTATGTGATGTTACCCCCACTACAATCCCTCCCTTTTCTCCTCACAGGACTCCCAGAGGTAGGCCCAATGTTTGGCCTGGGTTTCAGAATCTGTCTCCATTATTCACTGGATAAAGGCTCTCTGATGGCAACTGGGATGGTCACCAATCTGACCACAGGGGATGGGCATTTCAGGTTGTGCATCTACTACTGCCAGGGGCCTTAGCTGGGGCCATCCTTGTAGACTCATAGATATTTCCCTTGCCAGTAAAGACTCCCTTTCCAGTCATCTCTCTCCACACTCTCTTCCTCTAGCCACCCTGCAACCCAATCCCTCAAGTTCTCATGCTCCCCCTCCCCCCCATGTCCACCCAGGAGATTTCTCGTATTTTTTCTTTTCTGAGAGATCCATGTGGCCCCCTTGGGCCCTTCTTGTTACCTACCCTCTCTGGGTCTGTGGATTGTAGCATGATTATACTTTATTTTACAGCCAATACCAATTTATGAGTGAGTATCTTTCTTGGTTTGGGTTACCTCATTCAGGATGATTTTTTTTTTTTTAGTTATATCCATTTGCCTGCAAACTTCTGGATGTCATTGTTTTTTTCACAGCAGAGTAGTACTCCATTGTGTAAATGTACCACCTTTTCTTTTAAAAGAATATGGAATGTTTCGTGAACTTATGTGTCATCCTTGTGTAGGGACCATGCTAATCTACTCCATATCTTTCCAGGTTCTAAATAATAAAAGTTGAATTCACAGCCTTACTGGACCTCTTTGGGCAGTTCAAACACTGCTCAAACACTTGTTCAAATACAGACTTACTGAGAAAACCTGGGTTATTGGAAATGTAGCAACTTACAAATAGTCATTATCTGCTGTTGAGTACATGGGCCTGCTAACTCTTCACTTGGTGTTATCAAAGGGTTGGATTAAACACTACTGTTCTCCTAAACATTCTTATATTGCAACTCTAACTTTAATGTGATTTTGGGCCTATAGGAAGTTCCTGAGGCTAAAGGAGGTTGTAAGCATGGAGTCCATGCCTATTGAGAGGACCATACTTTCTCTATTCTTCCACTAATAGAAACTAAAGAAAGACTTCTGTGAGAACACACTGAGAAGGAGGAGAGGCTTCACTAGTAACTGACCATGTTGACACTCTAGCCTTGAACACCTAGCATCCAGGCCATAAGGAAGTAAACTAAAATATTTAAGGAACTCAGTTTAAGCTATGTATTTTTTTATGGCAATCTGAGCTATGGTAAAGTGGGTCTTAAATGAAAACTGGGCATATTCTTATTGTGTTGGTTATGGCTATTTTTTGGTGCACATTTACAAAAATCTATTCCGTTTCAGGAAAACAGCCTTGAGTGAGTTACCCTTGAGTTTTTCATGATTTCTAATGCAGTCAGTGATGGTAAAAATCAAAAGAGCATGGCTTGACAGATAACCTGTGGAAGAAGAAATGCAAAGATTTTGGGTGATGGGAATAGTGCATTCTAGTTACTATATGTCTCTTCTTGACCATCTTCTCAAAGTGCTCAGAAAAGTTGCCTTCATGGAGAAATTGAGATGTACAATGATAAAAGACAGTGGCTCTCTTAAAATATACATGAATAGGTATATTAATTTGCTGCCATTGCCATAACAAAATAACACAGACCACCTGGCTTAATATAAATTTGTTTTCTCCCACTTCTTAAGGATCTTGTTGTTTTTGTTCAAGATCAAACTGTAACGAGTACGGTTTTTCCGCCTGCCGCCTCCCGGTCTTGTCCCGCCGCCACGCCACCAGTCCCAAATAATACACAGAGACTCTGTATTTGGTACAATACTGTTGGCCCAGTTACTTTTTCTTATCGGCTAGCTCTGCCTTTAATTATGAACCCATTTCTGCTGATCTATGTATTTCTCTTACGGGGAGCTGGCGGCATACTGCTTTCTGTTTCTGCTAGTTTGTTAATGCATTGCATTGTTTCTGTTCTGGTTATTGAGGTATCTGACATTAAACAAATTATACCTTTCAGCTCGCCAACGCCATCTTCAATATTCTGAACCTTTCTTTCTTTGCTTTGAATTCTATCATTTTCAATGTTTTGAATCTTTGTCTCTATGTTTTGAATTCTATCATTTTCAATGTTTTGAATCCTTGTCTCTATGCTTTGAATTCTATCATTTTCAATGTTTCGAATCTTTGTTACTAAGTCTCCCGTGGTTTGTACAAGTTCCTTATTGTTTGCTGTAATCTCAAACCATTTCTTTAAGAATATCATGTTAATGATGAAACCCATTGCTATTACAAAATAAAAGTATATATTGGTCCAGTCATAAGTTTCAACTGCTAAAATCCCTTCTACATATGAAGTAAAATAATTCCTAAAGTTCTGCATAGTAAAATAATCTGCCATAGTTATGGAACAATTTATCTCAGATTTTATATCAGCTTAAATTGCAAAGGATGTTACAATTACCTTAGGTGTAATTCTGCTGTCCTGGAACTTTGATGCTTTTAGTTGTATATCTCAGCTTGTGGTAGCTACGCCTGGAGGTGTGTCACCAAATAGCGCCTAGCCGCTGAGGCTCGTCTGATCCCGGTTCCTGTAAAAAGGTCTTAACAAACTATGACAAGCAGAATTTTGTTAAAAGGGGACTTTTGGAGTTACTTGTAACACAAGACGAAACGTGTGCAAGCCGGGCGGGTGCCGCCGAGCGGCTCTGTGCAAATGCAAAGTCCTGTGCAGAAATGGGCAAAAAATGTTAAGTGGTAAGTGCCTTCTCAGGTCTGCTTTAGCGGCAAAGATCTCCTTTGCAGTAAGGAAGAGGCAAATGTCCCAAAGCTGTGGTGAGTCCACCTGGTTAAACCCTGCCCGTTGGGGAAGGTGGGGGAGGGGGGCGGCTTCTGCTGCCTGGGGGCAAAACCCAAGTAAATCCCGCTTCTGACACCAGATATCGCGGTAAATAAGGATCAGGATAAACAAATAGGCCGAATAGATGTTTATTCAGGGAGAATTAAATTACAACCTAGACAGATGAACACCAGGAAATTCAACCCGATCCTCTCCTGTCCGAGTCACGCCAGAAAGAGAGAGCCTTTCCTGGCCCCCTCCGACCTCCTTCCACAGGTCACTTCCGCCCATGGCTCCACCCCCAATGGGCGTGGTCAATGCTACAGAAGGACTATCTCACTACATTCAACTGTCTGAATTTTTCCATGACCTTTCTTCTTGGCTTTTTAGAAGACCACAGCATGGTGTTTCTTTTGTGCATGTGCATTCTTGGTATTTTTTTGAATGTTCAATTTCTCTTCTCTGAAGGATACTAGTCAGACTGAGGCACAACCTTAAAAATCTTGTTTAAATCCACTCCTCTTTTTGCAGGTCTGATTTCCAAACAGGGCCATACTCTGATGTACTGGTGGTTATTGAGGACTTTCAAAGGAATTTAAAAAAAAAATGCAATTCATCTTGTAACCCAGGAAATCCACTGTAGATTGGGAATGAAGGTGAAACATGCCTCCCGTTTTTGTTTTAAATTTTTATTTTAATGAATGTCCTATGGTCTGTTATTGTCAAGCAATAAGAGCTTACTAGGAGCACAGTGAGGATGACAAAGTGATTTGACTGCAGGGATTTTTGTAGGGGCTACTGATTATGGTATTTGTGTTGAATATAATGAGCAGGTCATTAGGGTTCTATTTGATCATTATAACTAAAACATAATCTTAAAAAAGAGGTCATGGATTAGGGAGGAAGGGGCATAGGAGGAATTTAAGGGAGGATGGAGGAACAGGAGTGATACAAAGGCAGTATTTGCATATGAACTTCTAATAAAATAAAATAATAAAACTTTAGAGAAAATTAACTTGTGAGACTATATCAAACCCCAGATAAGATAATTCTCTCACCTGTAGCCTCTTACCCAAAGAGGTGGACTTCTAAGTCTTTTGAATAAGTCATTCTTAAGTCACTTGACATTTACCAAGTATTGACTTTGTCAAGATACTTGACTACTAAAAAACAGTTTAGCTTTTAACTAGATTTTTGAGAATTATTGATCAGTGCTCAAATAACAATGATTTCCTGAAGTCTAGAAAACTACCATAGTAGGCTCTCCTGAGGTTTATGTGCTTAATGGAGTAAAGTCTATTTGAGTGTCAAAGACTCAGTGGAAATTACCGAAACCACTTTATTTTATTAAAGTTGTAAATTAAATGTATCATACCTTTTGTGGGAAAAAAACCCAGAAGCCATCAAAGATAGGATGGATATGTATTTGTTTTAAAGAATGATATCCAACTATTTTAACTTATTCCAATGGTAATTGTAATACACATATTTATTGGAGACTAACACAGTTCCTGTCTCCTTGTATGCATTCATAATTTGCTATAATTCTGATTTGTAATTCCTCTTTCTCCCACACTTTGGAATACCAGGAAGCAGTTTGTGTTTTATTAGGTCACATAAAACGTGTCCTCTTATCCTGTGTACCTATTAAGTTCATTGTCATGCTAGAAGAAATGCTCCTAAACTGTTGCTGGTGACCCTGCTTGGACATCCTTTGGGGGAGGGGATGAGAAGATACAGTACCAATGACTCAGTCTCTGGGAGTCAGTGAGTAGTAGAGTATGCTGAAGACTCATTCATTAAGGAACTTAGACCTGCCTTTATACCCCCCTCCCAAGGTCGTATTGGCTCAGGTGACTGACTCTGTTGCATGTCCTTTCCTCATTGTTATCTTTGGGTCAGATGTATCCTCCTTAGCAGTCTCTGGGTGTAGAGGCAGGCTTGGCTCAGGGAGGAAGTGCCTGCCTTACATGGTCATGCAGGCTGGCCTGGGTACCTGTGACTTAGGTAGGTTGGCCACAGTTTCTCCTATACTAAACATGAAAGCCAGCTTCAGAATTCACACTCTAACCATTCTATTGGGCTGCCTTGAAATCAGCGTGCAATGCTCCATACCTCTGACAGTTAGCAAACTATAATGTGCTCTTTCCTCAATCTGTAGAGCATGGATTCTAAAGTCCCTTGGGTTGGGAATTCAACAAGCTAAAGGGACCTAATCAATTTGTGAACAATAAGAGATAAACTACAATGAATTTATCAGATTTTTCTTAATGACACAAGATATATGGATTTTAGACATACAGAAAAGGATCACCAGCCTATAATTCACACTACCAGAGAAACTAGCATAAAAGGAGGTACCTAAGAGATTCCTACAAGGTCCCTCATAGAAAGGGAAATGAACAAGATCTCCTGAGCATATTGGGAATAGGGGGCAGTGAGCGGAGAGAGAGTTAGGAGAAAGAGAATGGGAAGAGAGGAGAACATGTGGGGCCAGGAAGATTGAGTTGGGGGAATGACTAGATGAGAATGGGAAAACAAAACAATAACAACAACAACAACAGCAACCAAAAAACCCCAAAGAGATACTATAATAGAGGGAGCTATTATAGGTTTGAAGAGAAAACCAACTCTAAAGTAATGTTCATAGACCTACAAGGATGTCCCAACTAACAATCTGAGCAACAGAGGAAAGGCTACCTACCATAAATGCCCTTCCCAGACAATGAGATTGATAACTAACTTATATGCCATCATAGAGCCCTCATCTAGTAGCTGATGGAAACAGAAGCAGACACCCACAGCTAAACACTAAGCCAATCTCCCGGAATCCAGTTGCAGAGAGGGAGGAGTAATAAGAAAAGGGGTCAAGACCAGATTACAGAAACCCACAGACAGCTGACCTGAACA